GCATATGCAAATATAGAGCTTCCTGACCACTGTGATTATTAATAGGCATGCCACCCATTACATTGAGACCTGAGAAAATATCTTCAAGCAAGGGGCTTAGTTCACAATGAGGAGTATTAACAACAACAATTTGTTGTGCAGCTTGGCTACCTGGAAAAGGGTCACCAAATGTCTCTCCACGCCATACCCATGAGCCTTCCAAGTATGAACGATCCATACCTTCAACAATTAGATGTGCTTCGACTTCATTGTTACTCAACCAGAACCTATTCAAGCATTTAGCACATGGACATTTGATGTTGCCATCATGAAAAGAAACTTGTAATGAGTTTGAGATAAATTTTGCTAGCCCTGTTATGTAATCCTTTGTAAACGGATTCAAAGTGGCCCAACTTTTGTCCATCGTGATTGAATATAATAAATGGTTTCCTGAATTGGAACAATAAGGTGCCTAATGATTAAGAAGTCAAGTAAAATATGTAACTGAAACAAATTAAGTAAATATAGTACGTGAATAAAGAGGCAAAAATTTACAATTTCCAACTGCAAGGGATAGTATGTATTGTACAAACAAATCATTTGTAATAGGAAAACAAAAAATCAATCAATTTTATGAGTGACATTGTATGTATGAGGCTTGTTCATAGAGCACAAGGTGTAAAGGATAGTAACAGGTTCATATAATTCACCAGAGGCCCAACTTTTGCACACTCCTAAAGCAAATCCCGAACACACAAAAAATAACAAGAAACACTCAAGTTTATACCAAGAAGAGAATTTACAGAAAATTGATCTTTACTGCTTTGGTTTCTCAATAAAAAAGGTAGAGGTAATAAGTATGTTTTGTATACAACATTTGTATAGTATTTGTAGGAATGTTAATCGTGTGTCCTTCCAAATTCATCTCTATCTATAGAGGTTTAAGTGTTCCATTCTAGAATGGTTAAACAACCATTCAAAACCTCAAATATCTTGATTTGCACCATTTGATTAAGAGGCACGACTTCAAGAAAGATATATCTACCCATTTGAATTCAATCTCAAACTTCCCAAACGGTTGATGACAAAATGATCAACTCCTACCCTACTAATGTAATGTACAGAAGGTGAGCGAGTTTAGCATATTACTTGAATGAAGAAAGACAGAGCTCTTTAGCAAAGACATGTCGAAAACCCCTTGTGATTATTGAATGTTAATCCATCACTCTTAGAGAGCGGTGCAAATGCTGTAATGAGGGGAACTCTCTTATTTATGTACATTGATGAGACCAAATGAATGCACCTAGGTAAATAGCACGGAGTTGTCCAACAGAGGTCATGTCGCTTCCTCGTCCACTAATAATAATATTGTTTTGAAGCTTTAGACCACATAACGAAGCATGGAATCTAGCTTAACTATTAGTTTTCATGCAGTGGTAGTAGGTATCAGCTAAAAATCATACCAAAACTTAAAAACACACAAAATATCATATGCAAATTCGTTCATAGCCATGTTAATAGAAGCCAGACTTTCTCTACCCAAGTCCCTTATTGTGTTTACAGAACATAAGAACAAAATGCGATATCCTTATAGCATAAGCTTAACCAAGAGTGGAACTTTACAGGGATATTTCTATTTATATCCCTTTTCTTTCAGTTTCTACAAGTTTAAAGGATAGTAGTTTGAAAAAAAAACGTCTAAGAACACCTAAAATTTCAAATTCCACCTACCTTCTTGGGACATTATTAGTCATTCAAAAAACAAGAAAGAAAAAAAACACCTAAATTATCAAATTCCAAAACGTAGTTGTGATTTGCCTAACTCGTGCTTTCGTGGAGATAGTAAAGGAATTTACATATTTATATAACAAGAAACGAACACCTAGCTTGTATCTGCAAGAACAATTATAAGCTAACAGATAAAAGAAGCACTTCAAACCCAACTTCTAAAAACTCCCAAGAATCGAATACTTAATAAACAAAGTGAAAAGTTTGATCTAAAAATTTTTGAATATTAATTATAAGAAACACAAAATTACTTGTTTTTACTCCCCAAAATCAATTCAATGTCTTGCAGCCCCAAATTGATTGTACGAAACCCAATTGAAAATAAATGGCGAACCGAGGAGCTTAATCTGTTGAGAAATTGAAAGGGCAAGGTTTGAGAAGCATATAACCAGCCTTCCACTGGGAGTGGAGCTTCCGCTGACCACGCCCGTCGCCAACTAAATGAGGCCACTCACCTTCCCTTGGCCGCTACCCCCTGTCCGCATCCTGCGAGTGCGACTGGTTTGCGGAACCGCCCGACTTCATCACTGATGCAATAATGGCCGAGAGATGAGATTAGGGTCCAAGGCTCTGTCCTTCTATGGGTTTTGGCCTCTGTCTCACTTTTGTATTTAACTTGCATTCGTAGGTTCTCTTCTCAGGACAAGCCTTCTCCTGTTGCAATATATATTGCAGCGTTCAAAACAAAAAAAAAAAAAATTGCAATATATATCCCTACTTTGAAAACAAAAAAAATTAACCAGCACCACTTCGATCGGTGCCTACAAAATCAATAATACAATAAATAAGTAGAAGAAAAGTAATTTTAAGAAATAAAACTATTTAACAGACACCAATCATTGGTGTCTCAATGTTGAAAGTCACCCGTATCAGTGGCATCCCATTATAAAGACACCAAAAAATGCTAAGAGTGAGAGTGCTTTATATCTATGGCCACCGATTGCAAATGATGTCCTATAAGCATAATTCTAGTAGTGGATCTTTCTTAATATCTTTCCTTCTCTTCTCCTCTTTGCTTATCTTATTTTCCAAGTATCTTCGTGTGTCAGTTGTGGTTGATTTTTCGTTCTAATGAAGATAGCTTTCATGGTCACGGTCGTTCCCTCTGTCCATGAGATTCTTGTGTTTTTTGTGGTTACTCTTGAAAGTAGGCTATTAGTAGGAAGCTAAAAAGAAAAAAAAAATGAAAATGGAAAAAAAAATCATGCATCGGAGGTGACTTATGCATGGGTGTTTTTGCTAACACTTTTTAGGATCATTCAAGGGTGGTGCGGACCTTCCTTATGGTGCCTTTACAGTGGTTATCCGGCTTGCAAGGTTTAATTTCCGTGAGTGTTATTTCATGTTAGTTGAACGCAAGTCATTCATGGTTAAGGAATTGTACTGTAATTCTTTACATGTGATTAATATTCTAATGAATAGGATGTTAGATTTCTACCTATACATTCCGAGTTCCAGACTCACTCTCTATTAATTATTATAATATTTTCGAACACTCTCCCCCTTCCTTTAATAAAAAGTTTTCTTTTAAAAATTGTAAAATTGTGGCGTGTTGGGTGTCCCATTTGAATTCTTCCTTAGTAAGGTTTGCGCTTAGACCTACTCCAATCTTTGGAGTAAAACTCAAATTTTAGGTTCTAAACTTACCTTAACTTGCTCAAACCCTTGGGCCAAATATGAGTTTTAATCAAAAACTCATTTCTGGGGCAAATTGAGCCCATAATTCTCCCTGCGACCATGTAAGTGTATATTTCTTAGTTTTATCTTTATAAATTTATTGAATTCAACGGTTAAGATCTAATATTATCAAATTCAAAGGTAAAAAAAAAAAAAAAAAAAACAAAAAAGATCTAATGGTCCAAATTTAAATACAATGGCTAAAATAATTAAAAAAAAAATTTCTTGTGTTTCATATTCTTACATAGTATTCCACGAGTTTCATGATGTCGGTTTAGTAATTTTTTAATATTTATCAAAATCTAAATATTTTTAGGTTAAAATGTCCATAAAATTGAATTAGGATAGTCTACATCATTTTTTTTTTTCCTAAAAAAATTACTTTAAGAAAAAATTATCATAAATTTATTTTTTAATAATTTCGGACTAAAACTTTAACCCAAAAAGGTTGGAGGAGAAAAATGATTTCTAGTTAAAACCTAAATTTAACCCAAGGATTGGAGATGGTCTTAGGATCACGTTTGACATGCCTATTCAATGTAAGTTCTTGATCGTTGTTAATAAAATTTCATTTTATCCAAAAAAAAAAAAAAGTTGGGATATGTATATGTCATGTTGTTTCTGCGCAGCAATGCAATGACATACATTAATGCACTCAGAGAGGAGAAATTATAGTATGGTACAATAGTACCACGTAGTCCGCAATAGAGTCCATAAAACTTAGTTTTTGCTAAATTTGAAGAGCCACGTAGGTTTGTAAGCTCCAACAGAATTGATAAACTGGTTCAAAATTGGGACCTTTACTTTACTCTACGTTTAGAGACTCTAGCCCAGTCAGCGAACGTATTTTACAATCATTCAAATCTATCTTTTGGTCATTGGACATGACTTTAAGAACCTACTGGCCATCATGGTCCGATGAACCGCCGCCGTCGTCGTAACCATCGGTGTCGCTAGCAGTCTTGACAAAGGAATACAAGCCGAAGTTGAGTGTTGCCACCAATGTGGAGGCATAGATTGACGGTGTTCTTCTAACAGTGGAGGAAGAGGAAGATGACGTGAGGGTTGGTCAAGCTCCGGTTGTGGGGAGGGTGACCAAGGCTAGTCGGATCGAGGTGGTGGAAATCAGTAGGAGATGCTTAATGGTGGAGATCTGTTCGGAGATAGGAGTTTTTACACGGTTATGGCGGACAGGGTGAGGTTGATGGTTTGATTTGGGCCGTAAACGTTGTAATGGTATGGCCATCATTTTAGTTTATAGGCTTCGGATTTGAAAGAGATTCACTTTGATGTTTCTCGTTTTGCACTTCAACAAATCTACAGACAGCCACCCATGCACGAAACAAGAACCTACCCTTCAATGTTGAAGTTCACTTAGTTCATAAAGTGAGAAAAGAAATGAATCAAGAGCTTGAACAACTCGACGAGCTATTCATCGTGCTTGAAAATAGTCTCGTAGGACTTGCCGGACAAATGATGAACTAAGCTTGTTGCATGTCTAATCGAAAACTTTAACTATAAAGCGATTTCATGAAGAATGACAAACATAACACAAGTAGAAGAAGACAATACATAACCTCAGAGATCGATAATTTACCATCACCTACAAAAACATAATAAAGCACGACTTTCAAAGTTCTGAAACCAAAATACCAAGATGTTTTGTGCCCTCCAAAAATCTTGTACCAGTGTTTGTGGTAATATCCCGGCAAGCAGACATAAGATTTTCAGATAAACCTAATAAAAAGCTTCCAATAAGTTGAGAACGAGAGATGAACCTCTTTCTTCATTAATAATTGGAGTAATTTGCTTGCATGCCCCCCTGCCTCCTCTATTCTAGATCAGCTAATCTGCTCACATGCCTTTGTCGAGTTCAGAAACATAACATGATTCTATTGGTAATAAAGACCGGACAGCAGTCTTCACGACTCTTATTGTGTTTTGTGTTTCTTTGACTTCTTGACATGATGGTCATTATTGACTGAAACAGTTTCGGCACTGGTTCTACTAGGCTCTTGCATAACTGATTCTCCATCGTTTCCTTTCCTCCGCTTCGCACTCCTGCAAATTCTTTCAACAATTACAATGCAGAATCTACTTTTTTCCTTTCTCAAAATGGATTATATACTTTCAAATGCAGACTATTTCAAGTTAAATTCCAAGGTCAGAGAAGTACCAATCTGTTAGCGAAGTATCTTCCGTTTGTTTATCCAACCAGATAATGTTTCCTGTGTGAGCTGGAAGCAAGGAACCATAAATGTACAGTGTTTCCTCATCCACACTGCAAACATCAATGTTATGAAAGTACACAAGTATAATAACACATTTTTTTGAAAAGACAAAGTACAATCACAATCAAATCTATCACTTAGTTGAGAATCTACAACGTGAGCAAATGAGTACCTAACCACATATACAGTGCACGAAAGAATAGTCAACCAGACGCTTTTTAGTTTACAAGATACGCAAAATCCACATAATATGAACACTTAAGCAAGCATCCTACCTCTCTCTCTCATCACTATTTCGTGACTCAAGCATCTAATTCACAAATATCGAAAATGACTGTGAGTTGTGACTTTTTGGAGTACACTAGAACGTGATACAACTTGGCTTTAAAACTGTAATCCACACTATTCCACTAAGTGAATGAGAACACCATTCCTCAGTTAAATAAAGAAAAGAAAAACCGCAAGGACTATACCACTAAGAGCAATGCTAGAGTGGCCATTTTTTCAGACCACATTCTGTGGCAGGTGGGGTTAACTTAGGACATCAACCATTATGACCAGTTGGTAGTTGACTGATCACCTGCCAGTGCTACATGACTTTGATTAGTCATGTGGTCTAAAAATGCAGTCTCTTCAGCATTGCTGCTACCAAATTTCAGTTTTCTTTCAAATCACAAGAAGGTAATTATAATCAAAGGTCACCTTTTGACTAATAGTCGTATCATCGTTCCAACTTTTATTACATGCCGCCTGTGAGATCTGCTAACAAATAATTGCTTGCCATGTTTCTATAAGAACAATGGTGCACCCGAAAAAGGATGAATTAATAATGGGAAATATTAAGGATATGAACGCTGAAACACAGTGATGAAGAAAGCACTTACAGATTTATATTGAAATTCCTCGCGAATATCTCTGTCTGTTATGACAGCAGACGAGAAGCCAAGGATAATGACATGAATTGATTCTTGTGTGACTTTCACAACCTTTCCTTCTGCAGTGGCAGAACATCACATAACAAGCAGCAGGATCACCATTAAAGAAGTGTATCATTTGATAACAGGATGCATTTTTTATAACAAAATAAATTAAACTTTGAGCATAGTACTCTCGTGAGGTATAAAATTTGTATGTATGTTACTTCATTAGTTAACACAGAACAAGAATACTACCTACAAGCATATTGGGCTTTGGAGAATACAGTAATAACTTTGCTTTTAGTCTGACAGTAAAATAAGGATGAACTCCGGGAAGAATCTTTGCGTCCTTATCTAAAATGTTGAATTCATAAGCCAATACAATACCCTCAAATGTATCATTGTACCTGCATGAGAAACCAGAGACAGAAAATTAAATACCGAATACTACATCACAAAGACTCATAACTATGATTCTCATATTACACAAACACATGAAAAAACGGAATATTATTCCAACGAGGGCTACAAATGCCCTCAGCACTTGAACAATACAGAGTAGCCAACTGATGAATTTGGAGACAGTAAAAACAAATCCGAACACACTGCATGAAGATATCATTCCTTAACTCTGACAAATCAGCTCTCATTTGCAGTCTTTCTTAAGCAAATTACTTATTTGTTGCAAGGCATTGCAGGAACATTCAGAAATTACAATTAAATGGGGAAAAATTGTCTGCTTCTGTTCGAAATTCTGACTACATAATCGGTATTTTACAAACATAGTCTCCAAAAAGCTCATGTTTGTTGCAAGGCAGAGTCCAAACAGAGGCATACATTGTGGGAACATTCAGAAGTTACAACAAAACGGGTAGCAAACATCTCTATTCAAAACACCGAACAAGTAACCAGTGTTTCGCAACATAGTCTGCGAAATGCTCATGCTTTTTCTCGAAATTCAACTCAGTTGACTCAGCCAACAGAAAAAACAAGAACCTTTACGAGCAATCCTTAAGCGGGCAATATTGAAACCAATCATACAAACAGTGTCAAGCTTCCAAATCCTCAAAAACATAAAAAAATTAGAAATATCAAAGAAAGGGTTGCTGAGAAATTACCTCAAAAGCATCGAGCTTAGCTCGCGCAGGATTGCTTTGTGGACATTGTTGCTCGTCGACGGATGCAAATATACAACCAAATTGGCATCCGAAACGCTCAGCCCCTCCATTGCGTCCCCCGAACCAAACCTGAGCTGGGGTTTTTGCAACTATGGCGGAAAACCTAAAACCCTAGCAGAATGCCAGACTCTCCAGCTCGCGTTGGAACGTTTGATGGGTTTATCCACCATTCTCCAAGGTTTCAAACTTTATTTGGGCTGCGCCAAAGTTGGGCCCTAGTCTTCAAACCGGGTCCATAACTAATAAATGTCAAGTGGGTCCCACCGCACATTACATCAGAGCCGTTGAAATATGTATGTAGATCAAGAGAAACTGGGCGTTCTCAAATTTCTTCTCCCAGAGTTGGGAGGCAAAAGGTCAGAAACGAGCGTGAAGGAAGCAAGTAAGTTTCTGTCTGGGTTTTGAGAAATGAGCTTATTCAACTAAATATACTAATTTTTCAATTGAAAATGATAATTTTTTTAATTACATATGATAATTGGGATTAAAGGCCTTTCCTTTTGATTGTGCGTGGGCTAGGGTTATGCAGATAATTGGATTAAATTAAGCCTGTGTTGCAGTGTTAGCATCTACTGGAATATTTATTGGGAAAATTAGTTGAATTTCTGCACTTTTTGTTTTTTGATTTATCTGGGCTTTAGTTGCTTATATATGATGCTGTTAATTTTGGCGGGTTAGTATTTTGGACCCTTTTTCTTCCTCCTAAATTTGTTGGCTTCGAGTCATTGGATGTTAAAGTTTTCTTCTTGACAGAAGTCTGAAGCATCTGCATTGTGATTTAGGATTCTGATTTGTGCAAATTGAAGTTCATGAAAATCGCGTATTTGAAACGAAATTTACTTTTTTTGTGTGGATAACTTATCTGCATACAAATGGCCCCAACACGTTCGTTTTCAATTTCATATATCCAAATCACTGGACTTATTGCCTATCATATGACTAGCAAAAACGGACACTCGCGTGCATGAATTTTTTGGGAGAAAAGCAATGCATGAGGAACACATATTTCCTATAAATGGATACTTGTGAAGATGATTAAATTGTTTTTGTGTTCAATTCTTGTTTTCCTATTTGATTTTTGGATTTTTCCATTCGATTTCCCTATCGTTTGCTTTGATTTTGCAATACGAACGTGCATCACATCCATTTACTGGCATTGGTTCTGTAAATGTAGTTTATATTTGTACGATGTTGTGAACTTCACAGCTTATGGAAGTGAGAATTACAGAATGGCTGCAGATCCTACTCCAATGGAGTCTGAAGCGGATTTGAACAGGATGGTTGTGGAGAGTCCAGTTGAAAGGGATATTCTGAACACTGAAAGTGGAGAAATGCTAGGCTCAAACAATGGGACAGATTTGAAAGAAAATGAAGTAGATGGTATTCTAGAACCTTATGTTGGTATGGAGTTTGACTCTGAAGAGGCTGTCAAGGAATACTATGATGCATATGCCACGCGTGTGGGTTTTAGAATCCGTGTTGGTAATTTCCATCGTTCAAATCGTGATGGATCCATTAACAGTCGTAAGTTTCTTTGTAACAAAGAAGGTTTTCGTGACAATAAGCAATCAAAAAGGGGCGAAGTAAGGAGGCCGAGGGAGGAAACTAGGGAGGGCTGCAAGGCAATGATTATGGTGAGGAAAGAGAAGTCCGGGAAGTGGGTTGTTACAAAGCTTGAAACAAAACATTGTCATCCTATGTGGATTTCTAGAGGCAAGAGAGTCACCATTCCGGCTCCATCACAGGTCAGTTGCTTTAATAAACACAGTGTGAGTTCTTTAATACATGAATGGAATCATATTTTCCTGGGAAGCTTGTGAAATGGAAGTGTCTCACAAATAGACCTTTGATTGATTTCGAATTTCTGAGATCAGCAATATTATACATTTATGAAATAACATATATCATGCATGTTCAGGATGAGAAAGATAAGAAAATTCGTGAGCTATCTGCAGAGCTTTATCGAGCGAACCAACAGTTAGCAGAGTGCAGAAAAACACTTGAAATGGTCCTGAAAGAGGTAGACCAACACGCAGACCGCCTTACTGTAAGTGTTCAAGACATAGTTAAGAATGTAAAACAGATTGAAGACAAGGATCGAGAGAATTTATAACATTCTTAGTTATAACAGTAAAATTTATATCTCCTATTGTGCCAATCAAAAAGCCGGAATTTGGTACGCCTTTTAGACAGTCTAGTAGACGAAGGAAGAGACAGCGAGCCTTATTGCTAATTGCTAATTGCTAGGTTCTGTGTCATTTTCTGTACATTTTTCATTGGTTAAACAGAAAGTTCTCTCCAGTAATGTGGGATGATCTCCTGCATTAGTGTGTTGTGGTGGTGGCTCTTCTTCAGTAACTCAAAGGTATGAAAGCGAAATACAGTTATGCAGGGACGGGGTTCCTGGTACCCGGAGATGCCATTCTCTTTTACACAGGTGCAGAAGTCGTTGTCAGCATTGGAATTGGTAGAATGTCTGGGGCGTATGAGGCCTTGCATGGTGGGAGCCTGGAAGTGTTGAATAACTCGAAGGAAAATACTTGGTTCATTCCCTTGGACGCAGCCATTTCTACTTGCATGCTAATTACAGTTTGACATTGTGCGTAGAAATCTTTCTTTCTTGTGTTTTATAAAGTTCGCTAGTAATTGATTTTCCCAACAGGACATCGAAATTATACAAAAAAAATATACATCCTGCACAGTAAAGTTACAAGAATTCCTTTTTGCCTTGTTTTGCTGTTCTTTTTCTCTTCTATTTTTCATCCTGCACGGTAAGGTTACTAGAATTCCCCTGTGGGGCACGAAAGGGTCAATTTCTTGGCATGTCGGACTAAGATTCTCTCCCTTTCTATTTCGCGCTCTTTTCCTCCCCTCCTCCACATTGTATTCTTCAATGCAACATTGTTGTTCATTTACTTACCTCTCAAGCTTGCTTAATATACCAATGTCCTGTATTAGCTATTATTAATTGTGCTTGCTCATAATGTTGAGGAATGACATTCAAGGATATACACCAATTTATAATTTTTCGTAGGGGAAGTGACGTGAGGTAACTAGTTTGACAAACTTTATAATTTCTGCATGTAAAGAGCACAAAGTTGCACGGTTTTTTGTGTTTAAGTACCTGTGTGGAATGTCAAATCTTTTTATATAACAATTTACCCAAGTTTTCAATATAAATAGTATTAATCTTTTGCAACACAATTTTTTATTATTCTATCAAACATAATCTTTCATACCAACCCCGCAGCAACAATTCTGAGAAATGATCTCAACTTTAAGAGCTCAACTTTCCTTTGCCGATGCCATGAGCCCCTTCTGTGGTTAGCAATTCTGAGAAATGATCTCAATGTGAGCACAACTGCATCTCTAACATGTATGATACCTAGCACAGCCATCACTAGTACCCGAACCGGTAACTACTGTGAATTCTGCGGGACTTCCACGAGGAGGAATCATAACTAGCGTGTTTGTCGAAAGCTTTCCTGCAACCACGGAACTCCCCTTAATTTTGTAACCCTTCCTCGTAATGTCCAATGTAGCGGGTTGCCATATATAAGGGATTATTCTATCATAAATACCTTTAACTTTTCTTAAGGGCGGGAGTGCATTGAACAGTCATTGATTTCTGTCTGCTCTACTTCAGCTGCGTGTAGTGAATGAGGCTGCTCCCTGCTCATTTAATAGGGGCAGCCTTGCCTTTCTTTGAAAATAATTCACGTGTTAGCTCTATGGTTTTTGAGATTATTTTTGGCTCCACAACTTAGTAATACGGTCTTGTGGTATTCATTTTCACCTGTAAGTGAGATGTCTTAGGTTCGATGCTCGCCAAAAGCAAATTTAACCACATTATTGCTAGCCCATTATAAGGATTAGCTCACTCCCTTACCCCCCCTAGTATAAATAATATCATTTGTTCAAAAAAAAAAAAACAAAAAAAAAAAAAAACAAACAAACAAAAAATGTTCATTGTGTGTGCTCATATGCTAGTATAATTATCACACTCCAAAGCCCACATCCAAGGTTTGAGCCCAAATTTCCTTTCCAAGTCTATTTATCCAGTTTCTTGGTAAGAATGACAAAGTGTGAAAAATGTTTTAACTTGACCAATGTGGGACAAATGAGTTGCAAGGAAAATTTCACTTAAAAACTCCAACACTACCAGCTATCAGTGCCACGTGGTGGTACTGTACAATCTAATGATTTAAAAACCTATCGTCATAATATAGATAGATTCTATATCTGGTAATTATCGATACTTCTTGTTATTTTTCCTTAAGTAAAAGGGAATAAAGTAAAGTGAGATTATGATTACCAGTAGAAATAACGTAGTAATTAGTTGATCCAAAATAGAGGAGGCATGGGTAGGGATGGCAACGGGATGGATCAGTTTTGGATGTGCCATCTCTATACCCAAACCCGAAATCGAAGAATCCCCGAACGGGTTTTCCCCATAACCAAACTTGTCGGATAATGGATTTACCATCGGGTAACGATTTTTCCCATTATGATATTTATATTTTTAATGGTTGATGTCCTTAGTGTTTGCAAGTTGCGTTATGATGACTTGGGTTAGGTTGGTTGGGTTCTTTTACCTGTCTTACCGTTATCTGGGATATGTATGATTCATCACCTACTGAATTTTCTCATCCTTGTGGATTACACGTAACGAGAAATGTTGGATAAAAAAGACGAACCCAGTGATTGAGGGTTTTGGTTTTCAAATAAATGCTGCTCCATTTAGTTGTGAATATTGAATGCTAATGCACTCTCCATGACGCATGCATGTGTACTAAATTTTGGCAGTTAACTATGGACTATTTATATTTTTAATTATATAATGCATATAATTACTAGCACAAATTTTCATATTTAATAATGTATAATTATTGATAACACATTTAATAACGCATAATTAATGATAATTCGTTTCTCCATATTATTTTTTTTGTTAAAAAATGAAAACGGTTTGGTTTCGGGTATGAGTTCGGGGCGGATACACCAATAACAATAACCGAACCCGAAACTGAAAAATTTACCCAATGGTTATCCATAACCGTAAAAAACCCAAAAATTAATCCCCGAAACTGGACCGTTCAGATCGATTACCTACAGGGATCGGGTTTGACAGGTTAAATTGAGCAAATTTATATAACAGTGTACAA